CTTTTTAATTACATCGTGATCACCCGATATATTATGCATTAATTAGATCACCGATCAACACGTACCCGATCACGATCGGGTGACCCGTGATCGTACCTAACCCTAGCAATACCGATACAAGGGGTGTTGGTATCAGCACGACATTAATTATTAATTATCATGCAACTTTTTTTAACAAATAGTCATTTACGTAATCTTTACTTTGCATGAAATTGATCCGATTCCATTTAATTGTTAATATGACTTTAAATTTGCAAAAAGTAAAACAGCTTGTGAGATTCGAAAAACAAACTTGATTTTTATGTGGTTGCATTTAGCTCATACGATAATAGTTCTGATTACTTTGCTGTTTGAAAAAGACAAAAACTCTAAAAAATACTATGATGTTTTATTTTAAATATTTTAATATTGAGTAATTTTTTTTTCGATTTACTTCGAGATATCTTCAACATCTGTGCACTATATTTATATGTTAATTGGAATCAAACATAGCATTATTTCAAGACAAAGAAATTAAATCAATTAAATAAGAAAATTAGCCAAAAAATACTTGTAATTGAGATTATTAATATAGAAAAGATAATTAATTATCTTTAAACTCAGTTTGCTCTCCGAGGCTTAGAAAAATGAAGTCACAAAGATGCTTGATCACATGACTATATTTCTGCCTGTTTTAAGGCAGGGATAAATCTGTTTCCCAAGTGTGTTACTATCTTTCAGCACTATTTAAATTTCTTATTCGCACCTTTGATCGCTTTTAGGATTTTCAGCTCAAATTAAAATATTTGTGATTCTTATAGAGACTTTACTAAAATACATAATCTTGACTCGAGTTAATTTAAGACTATGTTTTTTATACTTCAAGTCCAGTCTCTAGGTTCTTATTTATTTAATTTTAATTAGTATAATTGGTAACTTCAGTAATCAGAAGTTATTAATTTAGCTAAACGAATTGAATTCAAGCAAGTGATAGATTGAAATTTTGTAAAATGCAAACATTAATTGAATTTTTAAAAAAATTCATCGAAAATTGGTTTTCCTATACTATTCCCCCAAATTCAATAGATTTTTTTTTTTATTTGAATTTAACAAATTTATAGAATACAAATAAAAATTCATTAAAATTTTCATTCTATTGGTTATTTTATGGTTTACTGTGCATATGACTTTGTACAATACTATCAGAATATTTAGTTTTATTTATTATCCATTGTAACAAAGATGAATTATATTAAGGTATCCATAATTTATATTAAACTTATAGGGATTTTGAAGATAATACAAATATAATACTATATAGCATTACCTTCAAGATACCTAAATTGAGGTTGCCGCCTAATAAAATTCAGCTTTTAAAATGATTTAATTTCTTTTTTATCATTTGAAGTAACATCAAACTCAAAATAATACTTTTTCTCCTTTAATCATTAATGGTTAAAAATGCCTAACTTTTCTAAATTGCAACGAAAAAAATTTCCATCACTTGTGTTAGAAGAAATATTTAAAAATTTATCAAATGATATCATAATACTTCACTCTTGCATACAAGTAAATAAAGAATGGTTATTTGAAGTATCTCCCATATTGTGGTGTGATCTTTTTTCACACCAGCAAACGCACATCTTGTTATCGGATCTTATATACAAGAAATGTCTCTTAAAGAAAAACAAGATATCAAAAAATTTTTTATTATTACAAAATTTGAATCTGAACCATTATTATCATACTCTTCATTTTTACAATTTATTAATATGAATAGTTTCATGGATGCTGTAATAAATTTTTGGCAAAAATTCCGTAAAAGTACTCAAAATTGTATGAGACAAAGTAAAATCTAAATGATTTTAAAATTTCTAATTCAACTATTGATAAACAAGTCTACAAAAATTCAATACTTTAAATTTGTAAATTTATGCTATACTATTTATCCAGATTTAAATAATTCTCTTTCAAAATTAATTGAAATTCAGAATGACTTAAAACATTTTTCCCTTATAAACACTTCGAATATACAGTTTTTAAAGTCTCTACCATATCAATTACACACTCTTTCATGTATTGAATTTAATTCCATCAAATTTAAACAAATTTCTTTAATAAGCTATTTAAAAAGATGTCAATCACTTTCAAAATTAACTATTTGTAATTGTTTCTTTGAAAGTGAAGGTGATAATCTTAATTTAGTAGACCAAATTCCTCTTAAACAACTTGTAATTTTTGACTCTATAGCCCCTGCTATTGTACTTCTTTTTCTTTGCAATTCAAATTTAAAAATCTTCAAAATTATAGGTCCACATTGTGAAGATAAAATTGAAAAAATTTTAGAAATAACTTTCAAAAGTTACCCAAACATTATAGAT